GCTTGCACAGACTTCCCTGGCATTTGGTCAGGGCTTCTGACAACCTGCCGTAATGGCACTTCCTGGGCTGAAGATCATATTTATATCCTTTGTTTACCAGTCTTCACTGGGCTGCTGGTCTATGATTTTATGTAAGTTTTGGCCTTTTTTTTTGTTTGTTTGTTTTTTTGTTTCCAGTAGCATGAATATCTGTTTTCATATTGCATAATTTTGGATTTTTTTTGCATAGCATGTCATCCACTCACAGTAAAGAAAGCCAGGTTATACAAACTACTGCAGCTAAGTGGTGCAGTGATGTTCTGGGCAGATTCTTGATTTGAGCTGTGGAAAGCCTTCATTCAGAAGAGGTCTAGGAAAGCATCAGCTGTTAGAGGGAGAGGCAAGGCATAGCAGTACAGTGAAGAGGTGGGGTTCTTAATGCAGGTCTTTGCCTGCAATTTAGAGGATTGAGCCTGTTTAACCAAGTGTATGAAAGTGGAGTTGTGACTAAACAAGCTGCAAGTTATTTGTGTGACACTAGGCTGGGAGTGTGACCCTCCAAAACTGTAAATAACCTGTGCCCTGTACTGACTGCTACTGTTACAATAAAAGGTCATTTAAGAAGAATTTCCATGCTTGTTAGGGAAGAAATAATCTCGTAAAAATGAGAAAATCTGGAACAGGAGAGACCAAGCTTAGAGGTTACAATTCTCTCTCTGACAGATTTATTGATGCAAAAAGTTTTCTCCAGTTAGCCACAGAAGATGGCTGACAAGTACTGTTAAAATGATGCAGAAGACTGACCTGCAGAGAAGTGCTGATTGTAATAGCTGTTCTCGTCATCCTGAAACTAATAAGGATCTACATCTACACTAGTAGATTATTAGATTAGTATTTCTAATATCTTGAACTACGTAGATGTCACTAGCTGTGTTGAGGGATCTTTCAGTCACCTTGTGTGCTAAGTGTACAAGAAAATTCTCGTGGCCAGCCTTGAAATAAAAAGGCTTTTCACAAGCAGCAAATGTCAAGGAGCTGAACAAGTGCAAAAAGATGATTTAACACCAGAATCACATACTCTAGAAATACATTAGTAAGGCCAACAGATGGTGTAGATGCTTTTTAGATAAGTATCTCAAACTTGCTTAAGACAGTTAAGTGGAGCTGTCTAATTACCAAGGATCGTTCAGTGGTAGCTTCCAGCCTAGGCTTTCCTCTGTGCCCAATACTTCAAGTAGTTCTGAGTTTCTGGTAACTTAGGGAAGTAGCCTAGCCACCAGAACTGTTGTAATGACAATGTAGTTAATGGTACGTTAGTTTATTGCACCTGAATTTCAAATGCTGTTCTTCTGTTAGGGGTATTAATGAAATTAGAGAGGAAAAAATTACACATCACATCTTGAAGGCAGCCGATCAAAGCATTTTGATTCAGTAAGTAAATAGCTCTTGTCTGAAAACCTGAAAAGAATGGATTATGAACTGGAGAAAAAAATTGAAATTAGTCATCTGTTATTCAAATATACAAGTTGTTTGTACTCGTTTAATTATTTAAATGATGTTTTTAATACAGAACACGAAGAGCATCCTTTAGCACAAAAGATGACAAAAGGGAAGACAAGACACCGTATCAGCTTGTCAAGAAATTACAGAAAAAAATAAAGCAATTTGAGGAACAATTTGAAAAAGAGAAAAACAGTAAGGTAAGTTACCACTTAGGCTTTCACTCAGGGTAAAGGGACTGCATGGTAGAGCTAAGTTACTTTTTGTAGTTCATCGCTGGGTAAGTGTGGGTTCACAAATAAGAATAATGTTGTCACATGCTGCTGCCTGCAACAGTGAAGTGAGCAACAGCAGTACTAGAAAATGGGCTGTGATGCCTGAGCCCAAAGAAGGGCAGACAGTGACATTTATGCAGTGAGACTGGGGAGGTACCAGATGTGTGGAGAGACAGAAGCGTCTTGCTACGCTCTGGTTCAGCTTCTGATGTCTCGTTTCAAGTTTGTTTTTACAAGTGCTGTCCCTTACGTTGGCACTGAGGTCTGATCTGGTACTAAGAGTGGCATCCGTGTTACTAGTCACATTTACTGTCACAAACATTACCAAATCTTGAAAGAACTAATTGTAAATAAGATTCAGTGTGTGTGTTTTTATAAAATGTAGTTTGTTTGCATTACTTTTCAGCCCTCCTATAGTGATATCGCAGCCAATCCGAAAGTTTTAAAATGGATGACTGAACTTACCAAGTTGAGAAAGCAAATAAAAGGTAAGGGGTGCTACGGTTTCTGGTTTTCTACAAACACCAATTATCTACATGGCTAAGATGGCTAAGTCATTCAGTAAAATTCCACAAGACAAGGAGAAATGTTCATTTCTAGATTCTGAACTATTCAAAAGTCAAAATCAAATTGTTCTTGTGGCTTCGGTTTTAGTTCATTAGAAGAGAAACTTTGCCTATGCAAAGTGTTACGTTCCTTTATTTGCAGTTCGACAAACTGAGAGAATTATTTCTTTTAAACTTTTGGCTTGAGCAATTTTTCTCATTCCAGATTCAAAGCAGAGGAGCTCAGATGGAGAATTCATACCTCAAACACGTCCACGAAGTAACACTCTTCCAAAAAGCTTTGGTTCCTCTCTTGACCAAGAGGATGAAGAAAATGGAGATGAGATGCGGGTTGTGCAGAAAGAGAAGAAGCCCACCAAGGAAGCTACACTTGAACTCATTTTGAAAAGATTAAAGGAAAAACGAGTGGAGAGATGTTTGCCAGAAGATATAAAAGTAAGCATCAAATTATGAATAGGCAAGAAATAGAGCACAATCAAATCCTTCAGATACCACTTTATCAACAAAATGATGCCTTTATCTAGCAGCCCTTTACCGAGCCCTCGTATTTCAGACCCCAGGGGGAAATGGTCCAGATCAACCATGTCTTCCTTGCTCCCTCTTTATTAAAATATTTACAAAAATGTGCTGACAATATTGGACAGCTTTAAATGAATGAAGGTGGGATGTATGGTGTTAGCTAAGCTAAGTTTGGCTGAGGCATCTGCGTAGCTGATAATGTAGAAAAACTGTTGAAGTGACTTGTGTTTGATGAGGGGTGACTTATTCTTCTGACAGAAAATGACAAAGGACCATTTGGTAGAAGAGAAAACATCTCTCCAGAAAAGCCTCCTGTATTATGAAAGTCAACATGGCCGGCCGGTAATGCTTGGTTTACTTCATCAAACCGTTAATGTATGCATAGACAACAGTAACTCTTGTGCGTTAGTGATACCAGAATTTAATGCTGGTGTGGGTTTTTTTTTTTTTTTTTTCATTTTCCAAACCACAAAGTTATCTATTAGTGTCCATGTTGCCATGAGAGGAAGCTATTGCATTAACTTCTTAAAAAAAATTATGTATTAATAGGCCCTTTTTCCTCAGGTTGGTAGGTTGTTGGAGTTTGCAAAGTGGTTGGTGTTGTTTGGTGTCTTAATGTCTGTGAAGCAAAGAGAAATCTTAAAAATAAATGACGCTATTGACTTTCCTGGGAAAAGGCCTGAAATGTAGTTCTGGATTTCACAAAACCAGAAATTAAAAGGCACTTTAAAAAAAAAAAAAAAAAAAGGCTGTGGCGTGTATCTGAGATGATTAGAGATATGGAAGTCAAGAGTAAGTGACTTGCTATTAGTGCCTAAAGTTCTGGGTTTTTGTCTTGAATAGTGATCAGCATCACTAGTCCAATGACAAGGTCTTTCCAGTTACTATCCAGCAGCCTTCCGGACTTCACATACCAGCTTTAGAATCAGCACTGCCGTATAAATCTGACCAAGCATTTCAGTGTGAAAGCCAGGGAAGAATAATGGTCTTGGAGCTGTTGGCATGGTTCTACAATCTCCTTAGGGAGAAAATGCCAGTAACTGTTTAGGATAGCCTTTAAGATTCGTTATGTTAGAGTACACAGTGGCCAAAAATTGAGAGTAAATCAGATATTGGATAAAAATCTCTCTACAATTTCATCTTTTTCTTTTTTTCCCCTGTCATTTCTGTAGAATCATCATCATTGCTAGGCACACGGTCTTCTCCTGCAGTTCTTGGTCCCTTTTTTATCTCTTTTCCATGGGTCTTTAAAGGTAGAGGGTTTGCTTCTACTGAAGCTCCTCTAACTTTTAGGAAGCCTTTAAAACTTCTTCCTGAAAAATATAGGGAGAAAAGAGGAGAAAAAAAGCACTCACTTATTCCCCATTTCATCCACACAATTTAAACTAGTTTTATGTTCGAAGTGGAATGTACGTGGCCTGGCAGGAGCAGCATACCGCTTTGTGTTTGCTTGTATATTATTGAGTGACTGGTATAATTAATTCTGTGGTTTCTCTGCCTTTAGGTTACTAGAGAAGAAAGACATATTGTGAAGCCACTTTATGACAGATACAGACTTGTAAAACAAATGTTAACTAGAGCAAGCATTACTCCTATTCTTGTGAGTAAAACAAATGCTATTTCTGTTTGTTTTCCACTTTTGAACTGCTAGGCTGCCTTTAGAAGAGCTGGTAATACTGTCCCATGAAATACATCTTTCTTGGAAGATATAAGATGTTGTTGGCATTGTACGTGAGGCATTTGATTTACTGCTGAGAGCAGAGCAGTTCAAAGCTGTCTGTGACCTTGATGGCTCTTAGGAAGTAAATGGTTCTCGGTGGAAGTAAATAAGCTGTTCTGCCTTGCCGGGGCAGAGGCGCTCCCAGGTCACTGTGCTAGGTATGGCTCTGCAGTACACACTGTACTAAGAGTCCTCCCAAGAATAGTAACACCAGTTGCAGTGAAGCTTGCCTCTCTTCTGCACTGCAGGTTGCTGTCACCAGAAGCATGAGTGATAGGACGGCCATAAGAACCATTCCATTCCTCCATGCTTCCCCAGTGTGAGGTGTTATCAACGTCTGCAGCATCTATACAACACCTGCGCTTTTCATTTTGTTTTCACTTCATTTCCTTCTAACTTGTAGTGCTTTCTGTTCTTTTCTTTCCTCTCTCTGTTGTCTTGGAAGAGATGAGGAAGAAAAGTTTTCATACTGTGCGAGGACATTGATGTCACCTTGTTCATTGTACCTGTAAAACAGTTGAGGAATGACAAACAGCTGGCTGACTGTTGCAAAATCTTGCAACCAAACAGTTTTGATATTAGCTATTTGACCCTTTTGGAAGGAAGGGACTGCATAGCTGAGGTGAGATAATCCCTTTACGTACAGACAGTTCTGAGACTTACATAGCTGGGCAGTGGCTTACTCAGCTGGAACTTAATCGGCTGTTTACATTGACTCTGACTGCTCTTAGCTATCCCCTTTAAGCCAAAGTATGTTGAGATAAAGGGACCAGTTCAAGATCGTTCCTTTCTTGCACATACATTTTTGGGCAGCTGCTTTTATAGAAAGATGTGATTTACATTGCAGTCATATTTCAGTTTAAGGGCTTTTATATCAGGATCCCTTTTTGAACTCCATAAAGACAGGTTGCTCTTAAACACTTAAGCATTTCTCCATGATGGTGAGACCATCATAGGTTATTGGTGGTGCCCTTGACTGGTTAAGTTTTATCCCATCTCTTACCTCAAAAATCTGACTCTTCAGCTGAGATGCATTTTATGTTATCAGTAGCCTTATGACTACTGTGGTGGTTCTTTCTTTTTTCTTTTTCTTTGGCTGTGAGATAAAGGGATGGGTGATAGCCAACCAAAAGGATTTTAAATTCAGAAGAGATCTTGGTAACATAATTCCTAATCTGTGCTGTAGGCAACATCTGTAAGATATTTTTCATAGTTCTCTGTTTGAAACCTATAGGAGATATGTGGACCTCTCTTAATTACCAAGGGTTGTTCAGTGGTAGCTTCTAGGTAGGCTGTCTTCAGTGCCAGGTATTTCCAGAATTGCTTTGTGGTTTATGTCACTTGCTTCCATGGGATAGCTCTTACGGTATCACAGGTTACTAATCATGTACACTGAAGCCTGTATGGAAATGCCCAGAGAAGCAGGAAGCTGTTCACCTTTCATGAACTAAAGTTTTTTTGACAGGTCATTGTCTGTGTGGCTTTTGTGTTCCCCCTTCCTCCTGCTCAAAGAGTCCCATCTGTGGAAACTGCTAATGCCGTGCAGGGGTAGCGGGCGAGCAGGGCGTAAGTGCCTGTGTGCAGCAGGCAGCTGCCAGTGACACCTGTACAGCACAGTGGCACCTGCTCGGGGCTGAAGTTCAAAGCATTTTGACTCTGAGGTGGTAACAGATAACTCTGACATCCCTGACGTAGCACTTCAATCACGGGGCTTCAAAGCGGCCTAGAAAAAGAAACGGGCAGGGTTATTCATGCTGTATGCCCGGCAGAAGAGAAAGAACAGCCGTGGCATTGTGTAACTGTTCTTATAATCTCCCTGTGGTTTGCTTTGGGGGGAACAAGAGTAAATATGAAATTCAGAGATATCTTTGTGCTTTATGAATTTTCTACAAAACATGGAGAGAGAATGAGAGTGCATGCTTTTTATTTTAAGTCAGGAGAAGAATGTGAGAGTTCTAGATATTTTTACTTATGTGTCAAGGATCCTTTGGGCATCTGAGCTTTTTGGGTTCTATAGTTGTTTTGTCTGGGCTCTGTAAGTATGTTTGCAGTCTTCTGTTCTTCTGTAGGAAGAAATACCTTCAGGCGTTAGGTGACTTGAACAAAATTCTGACTGTACACAGCATTTAATGTCTGATTGCACATAATGAAACAAACTTAAATTTTTGCAGGGGTCACCATCAACCAAGAGGCGGGGGCAGATGTTACAGCCCATTATAGAAGGTGAAACTGCCCATTTTTTTGAAGAAATTAAGGTATGTACAGTGCATTTTTGATAAATACTTCCCAGCATTTGTAATAGGGAACTGAAGTATTTCATATTTGTTTTGAATTTCTGCTTTGACTTACAGGAAGAAGAGGAGGAAAGTGATGGTTTATCTGCAGACCTGAGCGATATCTTAAAAACTGCTGTCCAAACACAGCCTGTTTTAAGCCCAGTTGAAAACTCGGAGTCTGATGTAGAAGATGGTCAAGAGAAACTGACCCGGGACCTTAGGCTGTCAAGCACCCGCGCTGCTTCTATGTGAGTAAAAAATAAGAAGTGCCTAATTCTGTTATAGAAGTTGCAATTATTGCACTTCAAGCCATGATGCCAAATAGATGATGTTGGGTGGAAGGGAGTGACATGTTCAGCACCTCTCAGGAAGAAAAAGAGTGTTCTTTCCTCTGACGTGCCTGACTAAGATCTCTTTGTATTCAGTGAACTGTTTAGTGTCTTCTAAACCTTCTTCAGCCTTACTTGAGCTGTGTAGACAGCAGAAAATTTATACCCTTTTATTATCTGCTAGCTTGTTCTCAATATTGCACTATCAAACAGCTAGCATGTTCCTTCTGAGCGAGACACATTTATTATTAGTGCAGCTAGCTCAGTTGGTTTTGAGTATGCTTTGAAGAATTTAAATTTTCTTGTATGGCCAACAGTATTTTTCTTTCACTTGAAATTTTTAGGCCTGAATTATTGGAGCAACTGTGGAAAGCCAGAGCTGAAAAAAAGAAGCTACGTAAGACCTTACGAGAATTTGAAGAGGAGTTTTATCAGCAGAATGGAAGGTTTGTGTAGCGCAAAACCAGATGCTGAACAGCTTTGTAGCCAAATGGTTTTTTTTTTCAACTTTCTGTATGAATGTTGCCAAATGGAATCTGATGGTGTTTTTAATAGTGGAGGAAGCCTGCTCCTGAGTTTTGTTTCCTCTCTTACAGTCTGTAAAGCATAATAATTGAAAATGGAAGAAGTGGGGTTTTATCCATTTCAAAAAAATTAACATTTTAAAGTAAATATAAAAAAGTATTTTTTATATTTTAAAAAAACCCCTCAGATTATTCCTCTGTTTTTAACATAGGGCAGGGAAGTCAGCCTCTTTGTCCTTTGTTCCAGTAAGTCAGTCCTGACAGTGGGTATTTGCTTTACCAATAAAGGGGTATATAGTTGTTATTCTTTTCTGTGGTGTTTAGTTCTTTTAGGCTTCTTATTTGAATATATGTTGTTATGAATGTGATTGAGCTGCTGCCCATTGTGCCTAACAGGAGGCTTTTCAAGGTGTATCACCTTGGGAACGAAACTAACAACACTTGTAAGAGATCGGTCACTTTCTTGACTGGCAGACCTTCTCGCTTAACTGTGATTTCTACTGTATTTCTCCTTAACTATGAACTCCTGGACCACTGGTCAGACAAATTCCACTGACGTGGCTTCCTCATGCACTTACTGAATTTGGGACATAACTCCTTTTCACTTTAATGGCAAATAATGAGGTTAATAACGAGGGGTTGATTTAAAAATAAGTCAGATAAGTAGATTAATTTATTATAGTCCAGTCTTAAATAAGAATAATTCTGTGCTACCAGTTCGTGGGTTGGTCTGCATACAGTGAAAATGTAGATCGACTTAAATTGGTATTTTTCTGTAACGCGTACACAGGATCTGAAACGAAAAGTCTTCATATCCTGTTAAAATCTCCAGAAGAACTTAAGAGAACGATTTATAAACAACGTTGCAAGTTGTGCTGAATAAATGCTGCTGGGTTTTCTACTCAGCTTTTTAGGTGATGGCAATTTTAACTACAGTGAACTAAAGTACAACCATGTGTCCTTTCTTGGTGAACAAGCTGCCAAAAATGTTTTTACCTGCCCTAAGATAACTGTCCATAGCTGCTCTTGTGTTTGGCTTGCTGCAGGATGGAGGGTTTTCTTGAAACTTAGGTGTGCTTCTTTTTACAGGAACGTGCAGAAAGAAGATCGGGTCCCAATGCTTGATGAGTACAGGGAGTACAAGAAAATTAAAGCCAAACTTAGGCTGTTAGAAGTCCTTATCAGCAAACAGGATTCTTCAAAATCAATTTAAATTCTGTTCCTCCAGCTCATAGAATGACATGGTATTTCCCTCTACCACTGTACTTACTGAGTGCTTGTGTTCATTTGTCATGCACTGTGGAAAGAACCCAGTTTGTGCACTTTATTGTGGTGCCACTATGACATGTGTGAAGGGTAAGTAGGTCCTGTCTAGAGAGCAAGTAAGATTTCTAGGTTCGAGGCTGCTCTATCCAACTTTAGCAAACACAGTTTCCATCAAAGTTTTGTATTACAGATGCATCCATCTTCTTCCAAAACAACCATAGGTTTTTTTTTCTTTAGCATTCAAGAACTTTGAGACTTGTGTTATTACCAACTTTTTGCATTATTGAAGGAATTATTAATACTATAGTGCTACACTGAACTATTCCTCTTGCCTGTTTTTTTTATTATGGGGGCAAAAAGTCAGCAAATTAAACGTACAGCTTTTTTTCCTGGAACATTTAAAAAACAGACTGAAATTCCTTTCAAAGGACTGCTGTGGAACAACTTTAATTTTTGGTATTCTAAATTGCACCTGTAACAGTAGTAATTAACATCTATGGATTTTGCTCATTAGTGGTCACGTTTCCTCCTTGATAAAGATGACAGTGGACAAACCAGAAAGTGACCTTGTTTAGTGTCTTTTTAAAACTTGGAAAACTGAAAAGTTATATCACATGCTGCCTACAGGACTTACGTTACTGTTGTTCATTTTATCGGTTATTGTTTATGAACTAGTGGTGACGTAGTGGTTTGTCTGAATTGGATACTGCATCTCCGCTTTGGGAAGATTTGAGGAACATAATGAACATTTCAGTGTATGGGAAATCCGATGGCGCTCAGGCTGGCGTAGCTCCAGCAGAAAAGAGCTGGCTTAGGACAGTTAAAATTCCACTGTCCCTGAAACGAGTCTGGTGTCAAGGGCTAAAATCAGTGTAGTTAATGCACACCACAGGGTGAACTGTCATTTTGAGTGGAAAAAATTACTGCTGTTTATCACAGTTTTGTTTTACAGTTGGAGAATAAAAATAAGTTATCTAATCCTTATGATGTAAGCAAAAGTTTATGGGCCTTGCATGATTTAGCTTCAGAGTTGAAACTAAATAATGTTTCGAGTATCACATCTGCTGTGCTGAATGATGATTTAGCTACTAGCTTTATGCTCCACAACAGCCATCAGCAGCTGGTTTTGATCTGGCAGAATCTAAGTGTTAACTGGTGCTTTCTCAATTATTTTTCTTTTCTTCAGTGTATCGGTTTGATTGTGGCCATGTTCTGCATGCACCTACTCTCACTGCATGTTTTTATGACTGGCTAATGTCAACATAGCTATTATTCACACTGCATTATGAAAGACCAAAAATGAACTTTCTCACAACGTAAGAAGTGGCTAGCATGTAACCTCATGGACTTGCTGTTCTGTCATGAAGCATATGAAATAGGTTGAAAGTAGGATTTTTAGTGCTCAGATTTCATCTGTGTACTGTAGATGACTTCTTGTTTTGTTTTACTCTGCTTGTAGGCATGTAATTTTGGAATTGAGAAAAAAAAAAAAGCACTAAAACTATTGAGCACTGGTGGTATGCCTTTTTTTTTTTTTTTCCAAACTGCAACATGATCTGGGACCTTAGAGAATTATGAGGTTAAACTAGTCGTGAGACCATTGATCAATTTTACTCAGTTCCATTGTGCAATGTACACTTCAGTTACTTTTCTATCAGTCTGCAGACACGGGTGTATCCAAACATTGAAACTAATGTGTACTGTATAGTGTTGTACATGAATGTTTGTGTTTTATATACCACATGCAAAATGTCAATATGCACTATTTAAATGTGTTAAATAATATATTCCTCCTTTATAATGCTTAAATCTATATGATTCCAATATTTTTATAAGTGAGTGAGTGACCAGACTGGTTCCAATTCAGAATTAACAGCTGCTTTGTGTTTGTTATGCAGTGTTTGGCTGTTTATTCCGTATAGTAGATAAGCATGGCAACAGTTATGCTGCGTGTGTTTTGTGCCATCCTTGTTGAGCAATAAATAAATGGTAGAACTAGGCATTTTGTGATATAACAGTTTTACTTTGGTAAAAGCAAAACCTATATATCTATATGGATATATAGATATGGAATATATATAACTAAACCAGATATAATTGCATTGCTATGTCTGGTGCTCATTGTATAGACTTTTATAATAAAAGTACCTTAACCTTTATTGTCATATATCTGCGTTTCTCATCATGCTTTCTCCTCCACTGCCATCTCTTGAAAACAAGGGCCGAGCCCTTCGCTGTTCCTGTCCGTATTTGTAGTTTCAGTGAGGTGCTGAGGCAGGTCCGAATTCGGCAGCAGAGCCCCACGCCCTGGGGAGGGCTCAGCTGCTGAGACAGCCCTCGATGAAGCTCCAGCGGTTTAAGCCTTGTTTGACCTGTGTAGACTGTGCCCCTCCGCAGAGACAGCAGGGAAGTGTCCAAAGGGGCTTACGGCGTGATGTTCCTGCCCGGCGCCCGCCTGCTGTGTGAGGGGTGACGCAGGAGCAAACTGTGAGTCTCGCTCAGCCCTGCTCCAACAGTAGCAGCTTCGGGGGTAGATGGGGCAGAGCTGGTTCAGCCGTTCCTGGGCTAATTAATTCACTGCCAATGAATACACCTTCAGCTGATGAGCAGTATTTGGTCGCGTCTGTCTCCATAATGGTCTCCTAGCCTTAAAATCAGTTACTGCTGTGTTTGTGGCCAGAAAACACTGTTACTGCACACACTTCTGTAAACACAAGGGGATGCTTTTCCTCTGCACCAAATAGGTGGGGTTTTTTTTTCATAGTACATTGATGTAAGTTTATATATAAAGTGCTTGGGGTCTTTCAAACTGACTCTTCTGTTGTAGTATTTTGTGTAAATCACGTCTCTTCAGCCTAAAGCCTGGCAAGGGATAGAAGAACTCTGAAGGTGAAGACTGCTCTTGGATGTGTGGCAGTGCATGTAGATGGGAACAAGAAGGAAGTTGAGGGAGCAAGTGAGGGAGAGGAGGCAGAAGGCAGCCTTCAATACATTCTGCAGGGTGGGACAGAAGAACCTTCCCTTTGATCATACGGCTTTCCTCTGAAGATGGGGGAAAAGAAAGCACAAATTCTTAGGCCATTAGCTTGAAGAATGAATGAGGTTGCTACAGGTCTGTTCTACCATCTCCATTTTTCCTTAGCATTATTTATCCAGCGAAGCTTGCTCTGATCAAGATGCTAATGAGAAGACAAAAGTCCCTCAAATAGGGGTTTGGTGTGAACTGTTTATGTGCTACAGAGCAATGAACTGAGAAGACTGTAACTGAAGGAAAATAACCCTGTTTTAAATGCCATCAGCCAAAACAGAGGAGAAACAGGTATTTCTGAGGGCGCAAAAAGCGCGGTGATACTGGGACAGATCTTCCTCTCTGAAAAGCCAATTCTGAGACAACACAAATCTGTAGTATTCCAAGCTTTATCTCTTGAAACAGGTTTGCTTGAGCCATTATGTTACTGCAGGGCGAGGAGCTTGCTGGGAGAAGTGAGGTGGGCTATAAGAGTTTCCTGCGCCCTAGAGGAGTAGGGCAAGGTTGAGGAGCGCCTGAAAGCTCTTCTGGGTAAGTAACTGTGTAAAGGTTTCGAGACTTCTTTGTATGAGAGGGATTGCCAGGAGGAGGAGAGGTTGGAGATGCCAACGGTGCAATACATCTGCTTTCTTGCATGTCAGACTATTGAGTAATCGAGATCAAGAGATCATCAGTGACCTGTGTTTGCTGGGACAAGTGTCCTGGGATGCCGCATGGCAACAAGAAACCTTTGGAAGTGATGGGAATATTATTTTAAACTGGTCCTTTTAGAAGAAGGAGAATGTCTTGGCTCAGCCAGGAAAGGGAAGTACAAGAATCAGTGAACCCTGCCAGCCAAACCAGCGCATGGCTACATGTGCCACTGGGCTGAAGGGATCTCTTTCTGGGTGCCTTCAAATGCTTGGCTGCTCCCTTCTCTGTGACACAGCTCCTCCACACTGTGATTAGACACAGAGAGACCATGCAGTAGCTTGGTAGTGCTCTGCAGGACATAAGGCTTTATAATACTATAAATCCTTGTGGGATTTATAGCACATTCAGGCTCGTGCAAGGGTGAAGCAAAGCTCCCTCTAGTGGCTCCACGTGTTAAGGCCTGATCAAAAACAAAGGCTATTTTTTCCTGAATAACAATTTTTTTTTTTCTCTGAAGGCAGCAGTAACATGTTTTAGAAGCAACAGGTGCCTGGAACAAGAATTGTTGAGAAATAAGCCTTAACCTTGGCGGCAGATGCACTAGCAAAAGGAAGCGGTCTGGGGAAGCGCGGGCTAATGACCCAGTGCTGGTGCGTGCCCGGCGACTGGAGCGTTGCACTGGGCTCTGTAGGGCCAGAGATGGAGAGGAGGGTACGCAGCAGGCCCAGGATGCTGCCCTTGCTCATGATCGGCTCTTCTGATGCCACATCTGTGTCTCGCAGCAGCCCCAAAACAAGGCAGAGGAATAAATGTTGTTGAGGCGTTCGTAGAGATGCCTACCCAGAACCCTGGCAAGGTTGGTCAGTTCTTCTCAGAGTTAAAGAAGCACCTGAAACGCGCACAGAAAAGACCCAGAAGCAACAATGGTATATACATTTATTAACATTCAAAAATCAAAAACCGAAAAAAAAAAAAGGGGGAGGGGGGATGTGGGGACTTTGGATTTATTTAAACTGTGTGAAGAGCCAGGCGATCTCTGTTAGCAGAGCTCGTGTATTCGTGCCTGAAGCAGCCTTCATTTGTTGCACACTTGTGTTAGTTCTCCTGCCTTCTGCACTGATGTTACTGACTTCCCTCGCCAGCGCAGCCGTACGCCTTACGAGCCTGGAACACAAAAATCCGGCCCCATATCCTTGAAATGGCACTGCCCTGAGACTGGCATTTGCAGCCTTCCTCTTTGCTCACGCGTGTCCACTGCCACGGGTCTATGTCCTGAAACACCCCTTCACAAGCACAAGTGTTACTGTCTCTCCCCCCTCCCTGGGCAGCCACAAAGTGTTCTGGAAGAGTGACAATATTTTACATTCTTGTCCCACCTCATTCTTGACTAATGTCCTTACAAGCTGCTCTACTAAATTCTTTTGTTTTCTTCTTCCCTCCCTGAGGGCATCTGTTGTCAGGCAGTGTAAAGCACTTAAAAAAAAATCTTAAAATCATTGACTCTGTGTTATCTTCTGTCTCTGTCTCTCAGGTTGTCACTCGGTGAGGGTTTCAGCCAGGGGCTGCAGCTGTCCAGGGGTGGGAATAAGACAGACTCAGACACACCTACCACTTAAATTCTGCAGTGGAGATGTAGCTCTGAGCTGTGACTAAGTCAGTGTCCTCAGTAAGTGGATGCTTCTGATGAAGTTTTTCTTGCCCTTCCTGTAGCTCTGGTAATTTCAGACAGCTCTATTCATCACCAGAGGGATTTAAGAAAAGTAAATCGGACAAAGGCAGCGTGACTCACTGGGACACCTGTGACAGTCACTCAGGCAGGAAAAGATGCATGCAGCTTTGGGGAGAAAAGTGTTCTCTGCCTGAAAGTCGATTTTCCTTCTGGCCCTTCCAAAAAGACAGGATATAGGAACAGACGTTTCTTTTCAGGGCTGAGAGAGACTGCAAGCATTGTGTGTAGCGGCGTTTACAGCTAGCTGAAGGGCTTTTCCCTCTCTTGTAGAAGTGTTTTTGTGGTTTGTTTATTTAAAAAAATGTTGTAGAAGTGCTTGCACGGGCTTATCCCAGACCTGGAACTACCAAAGACTGCTGGAGGCCCTCTTTTTGTAAAGCAAAAGGAAGCTACAGTCATCTTTCTTCTGGCTGTAGATGCAGCCTATGACCCAGCAGACTGCTGTAAAACTTGTTTTCCGTACATCTGCTTCGGTTTAACATTTGGGCAAATGCCCAGCTCACAGATTTATACCATTTCTAAGACACATTGATCTCACCCTACTCTGCTATTGTAGTGAATGGCCTTGCCCGAACAAGCTTTCATTCGAAGTTTTGGGCATAATTAGTGATTTTTCTTTACTTATAGGTCTAGCTTTTGCTATTCCTGTGATGTTAAAAATAGTATCCTGTGGAGAAACAGCTTTTGTAAGTAACAGTGGGGACAACTATGACTCCTTTTGTGTTAAACTTCTGAAATATAATCAGCAGTTTCTAAGAATATAGGAAAGAATAAAGCCTACCTCTTCATTAGCACTGTCTCCATCAGAACGCTTAGAAGCATCCTTTCTTTTAGTGGCTGAAAATTCCCTGCTTGTTGTTCACACAAATGAGAAGAGACACAAGTCCTGTGAGAATACGTCTGTGCTCGGCGCAGGGGGGAACGGCCAATGCTGAGATCCTACCTTCCCGAGCTCTCAGCTGCTGGGTTTGTGTCCATCTCCGGTTTCTTCAACTTGAGCTTGACAAGGGCCTCGCTGCAAGTCTGAACGTGGACAGGAAATGTCAGGCATGTTAAATGGTTGTGTTTAACCAGAGACACTTTTGCACAAGGACTCGAATGCAAGGAACAAACCGACAGCATAATGCCTCGGCAATTAAACCAAAATCCCACCAGCCTCTCTCTTTGTTCCCTCAGCTCAGCTAACTTTGCCTGCTGTAGCTCAAACTTGTCATGAAACCCCTGAAGGTAATAGCAAACCAAATCCAGTAAGAGTTTCTGTTGTCAGGCATATTAATTTCATCTTACTGTAGTGCCTGGTAAGTACAAGAATGAGCTTGGGTGGGGGAATCTAGACTGTGCTGTTGCCGACCAGACTAGCTGTATCCTGGCCTGGGCCTCTCCCTTCCTTTCCCTCAGTGAAAACTGGCCTCTGCAGAAGCAATGGAACTTGTGCCTGTGCCACTTGTAAAGTCCTGCAGGAGAATTTTGGATAGACAGGGCTGCCAGCCCTCCGCTGCAGCGTGGTCAGCGTGGGCCAGCTTGGAGAAACGCTGTCTTGAGTGTGCAGGAATCTCATCGCACCCCTACCTCTAGCTTATTTATCTCACTGGTGCTGCTGTACTCCCCAGTTAAAGTTTCTAGGTGGAGGTACTGACTTTTCCCAGCAACAGAACTGTGCGCAGTCTCCTTGGCTTCACTGTATGCATTTGGCAGGACAGGAGGAGGTCATCATTTCAAGTTGAACTGAAAAGTTAGACTTGTTCCCCTTTTGTACTCATTTCTGGCACGTAGAAATGTTCTGAACTTTGTGGAGTTTTAAAGGTGCATGTTTCTGCTTGTCTTCCCATGCAGAGAAGATCTTTAGTTTCTCAGTTTGTAAGAGCAGCACAGAAAACTCTGAGGAAAGCTGATGACGGGATACACCACAGACCAGGCTGGTCTTAAATACTGCTTTTAAAAGGGTGAAGTAAAGGTAGGCTCCTTGCACCCCAACTCATATATATACTACTCTTACCATTAGGAGCTCCTGTGGGTTTGACGAAAAGATGTCTCTGTATCTGTCAAGTGATTATTTAAAGTGAAAAATCAAATACTGGGTGTTCTTAAGTGGTTATGGCCCAGCTGTTTAAGGCCCTTTGCTAGTGATGTAGCTTAGAGTTCCTCCTCTTACCCTGAGTTAAATGAGGTAGTTACAGAAGTGTTTACTCACCTGTCTAAAGAGGTGTCTGAGCTGAAGTTCTTCACTGGGTATTACTTCAAAGTCTGCTTTGATTTGTGAATAGGTGTCATTTATAATAGCCAAAAACATGTTCTGCATAGGAAGGACACAGTTAGAGATTTGTTTCTGGAAATTGCATTTGTATTACGCTGGGGCTGTTGTTCTGGGGGCTGTTCTACTAGGGCACGGAACTGAAGCAGCTTTGGAATTGAAGAGCTTTGCTGGGTGCAGACCTGCTCCCAATGCAGTTAAATTATCGGATAATCCTGGGGTCTTAGAGAATGTTTTTGGGAGACAAATCACTTATTTCCCATATGCAGTATCAGCTAAAAGGCCCAGTTCCTTGGAGGGAACGGATTTCCTGTCGTAGAACTAGCTTTTTCAAGTGGTGTTTCAATCTGAAGTAATGAAAGCATCAATCTAATAAAGCAAACCTGCACCTACACAGTCCCATCAAAGTGTCTTTAACCTTCCCACCTGACAAGGCTGCCTTTATGCAGTTTTCAAGAGCACCCAATTAAGTTTTCAGAAATCAAAATCTCGATAAATGGCCCAGTGTCATCTTGGGGTGAAAAACACTGTCTCAGAGCACTATACACCAGTTCTTCTCTACTGCTTATGCAAAAGGATGAGCATTTTTAAGACTATACCTACCAGCAATATGAAGAACACAAAGAATACAAATGTGGTGAAGTAAATAGGTCCAAGGATTCTGTTTGCTGCTGTCACAGTCTCAAAATCAAAATCTCCCAGCACAATACGAAACTGTGTAAAGCTGGGAGTGAAAAACAGCAGAATGAGTTGACTGGTTTCTGTTAAAGAGAAGTGTTGTAAGCATTAATTAAAAAAAAAAAAAAAAAAAGGCAATAGATACAATAGAAACTGATTCACCATTACCTTAGTCACTGAAATCAAAAGGCAAGCCAGGATAATACAGCAATTTAGTGCATGCATTTGAGAATTTGAAAGTACAAATGAATTTTGAAATGGCTTGTATGAGAAAATACTTTCATTTTAGATAAATCACAGGTTTTTTTGGGTTTTAAAAATTATTTCCCTTCATGTTGTTAGTACAGAAGGTAACAGTATAGGTCCCTATGTCCCCCTCTAGCACCTTAGGACTATCTCGCATCCAAGTGGATCCAAAATGAGCTATTTTTCTAGTTTAGAAGTGCCTTAATTTTACATGAAAAGCTCCTTTCAGACAATCTGGTACACTAAAGGTATCTCTGAAGTTGTAAGAAACACAGCCATGGGCAAAACCACAACGCACACGGCGGGTGACAGGGTAGAGTTGCTATGAGGTGCGAGGACCATCAAAACCATTTCCAGCTGGCACTGGAATTGATCTGATATTGCTACAGTGAGTGGCTGAAAGAACTGGGGAAGAAAGTAACGGAGTCAGCTGACGGGATCTGGGGACTCTTGGCTATGCAGCTGGAGATCTTTCTCAAAAGTGCAGTAATTCCTGGTTGCAAATGTGCTCAGCTTGTGCTCTGAGCCACTTGGGTGTCTCCAGCAGTTCTGTGGTTGTCACGCTGGGGACGGTGTTGCGTACCCAGCGGCATGTCTGCGGGGCAGTTCCACATTCTGGATTCACGAGGCAAAGGAGAACAGCCTGCTGCCAGGCTTCCGGATGGCCATGGGGCTTGGTTACACACGACGGAGTCAGGTTGACAGCTGTGGGGACTAACAGCTCCGTTGGGTGAACTCCTCCTGAGCTTCCCCTTCGTATGCTTCCTTGACCTGTGTCACGCACAGGTGGTCTCTTTGGAACATATGAAGACTTTGGGAAACGTAAAGCCAACAAATTGGTTTTACTCTATGAAATAAGCTTAAGTGTTGGAGACCTATACTTTTTTAAGTTCTGCTTAGCAGAAGCTGGTTTGCACCTACACCAACTGAGGCATTTGTGTCAAAAAGTTTAGAAAGTAGCATACATGCAGTTTGGGAAAGTGGAAAACTCTTCAACTTGTGACCCGAAAACCAGATAGCCAAACTGGGCGTAGGCAAAGAAAATGATGAAGAACATGATGGCAAATCCAGTTATGTCTTTGGCACAGTGAGATAAAGTGGAGGAGAGCTGCATCATGGTTTTGTTAAAGCTGACATATTTAAATATCTGCAAGAGAACAGAACGTATTGTTATTGGGGGATCAAAATATATTGCAGCTTCTTAACAGAATTTCTGGAATTTTATCTGTAATCCTAATTTACAGGTTAAGTCTTACCTAGAAGTAAGTTGCATGGTATGTATCTGTAAGGAGAACTAGGATTGGGTGTGTTTCTTGAGAAGATGAATGTTCTGCAGGGCAAATATGCTTATGTGCTAAAGCTAACAGTGTGCAGACAGCTCTCTGCTGGGTACTGGTAAGTGTAATCAGCTCTAGCAGATACGGACCCCTGGTCAAGGAGATTGCAAGCCATACCATCCTCCTGGATGGAGCCTCCTGACGGGCTCGGTTGGTAAGGAGCTCTCTTAATTTGGGTCTGAAACAAAAGCCTTGTTCAATGACAGTCGTTAATTATAAACACAGTTGTGCTACTAAATGAACAGTTGTCCATCTGGGGGAAGGGTGACGCAGGGGGAACGTGCAGCTGAGGGACAGAATGGACGTAATGAGGAAGACTGTCCACAGAACTGGTGAGCAGCTAGTGCTCCCCAACAGCTTCTTCCTGCAGCCTCGGCCTGGGAGGTGGAGGAAGGCCAAAAGCCTGTTTATTCTAAAAGCACGTGACCCTTCATGATAGTTTATATTCTGGTCCTTGGGGCGTGACTAAGGCCTGATCCCTTCTGGCAGATGTAAGTACCTCCCCTGGCTGTTTCAGAGCTGCTTTGTGCTGGGCATTTTACAAATACCTTAGGAGAGAGGGGGCCTGTAAGCAGCCCGGGATCAGGCAAAACTTTGGGAAGTTTCATCCAGTCACTGGGAACACTGAGGCCACCCGAACCAAAGTCACTGATGTCTGCTGGGTGCAGACCCCAGGCAGGGTTTAGTAGATTAGGGGCAGTGGCATGCAAACATGGTTTGGTCCCAGAGCACCTGGTTAGGAGCAAAAGTAGCCCCTAATCTTAGAGAAGTTTGCTACTCCATCCAGAGATCAGCAGGTCTGTTTACAAGTAAGAATGAAATGAAAGGTGTCCTGGCCCAAAGCCACTTCTGAGTCAAGTTCAGACACATTCTGCCTTCCTCTGCAGTTAAAAACTGTTTTCATGGCTTTTGGCTACAAAAGCTACGAATAGCTTCACCTACTAGAGCCATGCTGTCTGTATAGGTCAGGCCGTGACCTGGATAAGATTGGGTCCAGGAACAGACTGAGTCTGAGGAGGCTGTTTGGCCATGGTAATTTCCCAGCTGCTCCAATGGAGACAGCTGCCCAAGTGCAAACATCTTTTTTAGATGGACTTGGAATTTGTGTGACCCATGTTTATGAGAAGGAGGTAATTTTAAACTCTTCTGGAATCTTATAAACAAAATTCTCCCTTTGAGCCCCACCTCTGCAGTTCCCCCATGGAAAGGTAAAACTGAACATTTATGCGACACTTGGAAACGCTCAGATTCTCAAGTACAAAAAAAAAAAGGGAGTAAGAGCCAATACCTTTATCCAAGCAAAGAACATGTTGACAGCAATCATGTTGTTGTAAATGACTTGCCAGAATGCGAGGAAATAGAAGTCTGGATACCCGTGGGCATTAGCCAGCAGCTCTTCCATTAGCAGGGCCACTTTGGCAGTGCGGTAGACGTTGAAGCCAATGGCAAGGATGGACACCTGAAGGAGAGCAGAAGTCAGTGAAACTGAAGTCCGGCTACTTGCCCTCTCTTCAGACTGTCCCTTTGCATAGGAAAGACTGTCCTGATTCCAAAAGGCCCTTGGTTAGATTTGAAGAACCTGACCTTTTCAGATGTTTGGTCATAAACTGTATATATGTGACTTTATTGGTCAAATACTTTGTAATTGTGTATTACAATAATTCTGGGCTTCTGCTATGTTACATGCTGCACACATGCTAATTTTACTGTGTTAGCTCTGCTGTGTGCTAGTGCTTCCCTGCTCTGCAGAGATTAAAGCTGAAATGAACAAGGTGATAACGAGCAAAAAGGACATAGAGCTGCAGCACATCTACAGCAAGGCTAGAAAACCAGTTCAGGTGTGCTGAACC